TAAAACACATGTAAGGGATGATAGTGTTGATGATTTACCTTGGATACGTGAGAGTTGAGTCTGCAGTGTATTCGCGCATTGCGCGTGCAATCAGGGCAACACATTTGGAAATCCACTGTCTCCTCAAAAGAGTCCATTTGAAAAACACAATATATTGACCCGCGTTCTGTTTTCTATCATGCGCCGTGCACGTTTGCGATGACATAAGATGCACGCAAACTCAACAGGGTTTGATAGAATTGAGTGTGAAACCAGACCAACGCTGCGGGCGGCGCCGGGAACAATCGTGCTCGCGCTCGGACTCGGACCGCAGCAAACGAGCCCACTGTGAAAGCTCCGTCACCTGCCTCCGCAATTTTTCATATCAAAGCAGTGAAGGCGGGCGGGAACGTGAAGGAAAATGATAGCAGATAAACCAGCAGGGCGCGCACGGCGCACAGACTGGTGTGTGGAGGTGAATTACAGTGAGCCGTTTGTGACGGGAGACCAAAAATAAATAGCGGTCAATATAGTAAAACGACACGTCGACTAAAAAAATTGCCGTCGACTAATTTGCATGGTCGATTACGTCGACTAAATCGACTAATCGCGGCAGCACTACATCCGAGTAGAGCTCACGGTTATGAAGGGACGGGACATTTCCCGAATACGCGCTAATTGGTGCCAATCACAACACACTGGGCCAGCTAACCAATCACAATACATTTCGTATTTCGGAAGGAGGGGCTTCAGCGAAAACGACGCGTTCGAGACCGACTTGGGAGAGAGATGTAATAATGTAAAATATGTGAAAAATAATGTGTTTTTTGAACAATCAAGTAGGGGTGTGCCATATCATACCGTCCACGATAACACCGGTATACATTTTTTACATGAAAAAAAGTCAAATCGCGATATCAATGATTGATTTACATTTACATTCCCTAGCATGCACAACAACAAGACGTTCTATCTGAGAGTAAGAGCAGCATGTCAGCGATTTAGTCACACAATCAGCTTGCGAGTAACAAGTTGTACTGAAAACAGTAATGGATCCAGGCACTAGCTCTAAAAGTGACAGCAGCCATGTGTGTCTGTCATTAATATTGTCGCCAAAAACAACAAAAGATAGGCCTACCTTTAATTGTAAGAAATCAGAATTAATAGCCTATGTATTTAATTTAGTCAGGACTCAGGATTAAAATACTGTCAGTGTTATTTTACATTTGATTACATTATTCAGTTTCTGTAGTATTTCCGAATACTAAGCCTGGAACACACCAAGCCGACGGTCGGCCGTCGGGCAGTTTTTGTGCGTCGGCCGACTGAGTTTCCTCTGTGTGTTCCGCACGGTTCCGTGCCGTCGGCTGAAATTGGTCCTCGACGGCTTTGTTTCGGCCGATTCGACATGTTGAATCGGCGTCGGGCCGTCGGTGAAAGAGGGAACTCTGATTGGCTATTCAGCTTAGTGAAAGAGTCATGCACGAGAATAATAGCAAAACAGCGAGCAAAGAAGTCAAAACTCTACAGATAGAAGGCTGTTCTTATGTTACGTCATCTTACCTGGGTGTTCCTTGGCGAATATTTCAATATTAACACGAGCGGAGTGGAATAAAGAAAGTGTTTAGCAGGATTGATATTTAAAACGGTAAGCACGCACTGCTTTGTTTATGGTTTGTGTATCTGCAGCCGACAGCGTCGGTTTCCCCTTTTTGAATGACGAATATAGAGAATATATCTGCAGAAATAGACAGCTGTCTCATTTACACGCAGGCGCAGAACGCGCATTCTAGCTGACAGTCGGCTGTAGTTCTCTCGGTGTGTTCAAGTGCAGCTTTTTACCCCGACGAGAGGCAACGAGAGGCGACAACACAGTCGGCTTTCATCGGCGCTAGTTCGTCGGCGTCGGCTTGGTGTGTTCCAGGCTTTAGACCTACCCAAAATCGTTTCTCTTTATTTGTATCTTTTTTTAATTTGTATACATTTTTGCTACTTTTTTCAATTTAAAGCTCCAGTCCGTAACTTTTTTAAGTTAAAAATAATCCAAAATAATTATATTAAAAAAAACTTATTCTGCCAGTGGTCAAAACTATCTGCTTGCCATAGCTAGATTCAAAACGGTTAGCTTGTAATAATGATTTTAATTCCAGTGGTACTGGTGGGTTTCCGCGGGAAATTCGAGCATGTCTTTGCGTCATGACGTCACACCCGTACACATAAAGAAGGAGTTTCGGCTAGCCAGCTATACTGCGCGTGACGAGATGTTTAGATGTATAGGCTTTTCTCGCAGCACTTTACATAATTAAACTTATGGCATCCAGAAAGATCCAAACAACAATCATCAGTGTCAACTGGAGATTCAGCAGTTATAAAACCCAAAAGACTTCGTACTTCGGATTTAAGGTGGCTAGAGAAAGAGAAAGAAACCGTCTCATGCGAACACAAGGATTTAAACATCGGCGGGGCTTTTGAAAAGTGCGTGAACTCCGTGTTTTGAAGGGGTTCAAAACGGAAGAAGAGACGGCTTTTTTCTGCTGAACAAGTAAGACATTTCAATAGTTCAATCGTGTAACAGTACGTTTTCTTAATTCACACAGTTATGGAGTTTCCTTTGTTGTGCCTTTCTCGTTTTGCTATTATGGAGAATATGAATTCTGAACTACGCAGGTAGCTGCTAACCATAAAACACATTAAATTTAACATTAGTCACGCAATGCTGATGTTGTTAACATGAACAATTTGAGAACAAAGTAGGCTATAATTTGCACGGTTGCTGTAAATCATGTTGAGCTTTTTCCCCCTTAGTTGGTCAGAACAAAAATGGATTTTACTTACTTGTTCAGAAGACATTTTCTTATGAAAATTCTTATGTTGGTCAAACTTTCAAAAAGTGAATCTGTGATTCTGTATGCCAGTATCCACACAGCGCGGTGACTGACAGCAGCACTCGCCTCAAAGCACTGTGTTCATCCGCGCTGTTTCATGCCGATTTACAACCCACATAAAGATAATAAATCCGCGAATCACTGCAGTTACAGATTTCGAACAGAGAGATGGCGACAAAGAGGAAAAGTTCCGGACTGCAGCTTTAATTAAAAGATTGAAATCAAGCTTCCTTGTGTTGTGTAAACTCTTAACAAAATTACCCAATTGTAAAAACGCAATGAGTGAGCAAACATTTAGGTGAGATAAATGTAATTTAAAAAAAAGGTCAACATTTTTTTTTCTATATTGTCATAAATATCATTATCGCAAATATTCTTGAAATATCGTGTTAGAATTTTGAGGCTATATTGCCCACCCCTACAATCAAGCATGAAAACATATTACAATACACTCCAAAAACAAAATAAAGACTTCATAAAAGGGCATAATAGGACCCCTTTAAAGATAAATTCCTCTCCTTGACCCCAAATCCACTCCATTGGCCGAGAAAGCTTTTTTTATGGGCCCAATTAGAAATTATGGAACATCCGTCGGGTATTCATTTTTAATCCTGGCGTAAACCATTTTTTTGTCCAGATGGTCCAAAACCATCTTTTACATTATATATCCCATTATATTACTTAAACTAAGAATTGTCAAATTAAACATTAATTTCCCTTTATTTGTGCTTTCAATTGACCTTTGATTAACTACTTAACCTACTAGCTTGGCATAGCACTACATGATTAAGAAAAAAAGCTCTTTTGATTAGCTAGCTAGAATAAGATATCCATATAATATGGTACGTTTTTAAACAGGCATAGAGAAGGAGGATTCTGGGGGTGATATGATCTTGCATAATCTTGGAAACCCCATCTTTTGATTGGTCGAGCAGCATTCGAAGAGTGCTTATATTTAGTCAAACTCTGACTGGTACTTTCATTGTTTATATAAGTCCACTTGATTGTACTAATGCGGTTTGAGACTGTGTGCAGCACTGAGTTAAAAGCAGAGCTAGGCCTATATCTTTTCTTGCAAATAGAAGAGGTGGTGTGTGTGATTTTGCCTGAAGCTTGTAGCGTTTCTTTTTTATTACTCAGTGAACGGTGCAGTTTCTCTCAAAATTTTTATGAAATGGCTTATTTTAGAACTGTTTTCATAGGCAGAGAATAAATATGAACTGGCTAATTTGTCAAATTCAAATTATTCAAAATTAACTTCTTTGTATGTAATTGTTAGTATCGAGCAGCTGTCATTACCGAAGGCCTCATGTCTCCAGCCAATTTATGGACATATTGATATTCAGAACAGCAGCTTGTGCGAAATTGTTTAAGTGTCATTTTTTTTAATAAATCAAGGTCTACAAAGAAAATCATATCATATGCTCAAATGTTGAAACAATTTTCAATTTCATTTTAGTTTTAGGGCAGCATAAACTGAAATTTTATTAGGAACTTTCTAGATTGTATTCATTATTTACAATGAAATGGTGCTGCTTTATTCATTGTTTGGTGGTTCAGAATTTCATCATTCTAAGGTCTAAATGTAAATCCATACGGATCTCCCTGATGTAACTTATACATCCCCAGACTGTGACAAGATGCAAGTTATAAAACGCATTTAAAGTCAATATATTGAATAGCCTACTGTTCAACAGTTAACTTAGCTTCACATGCTAACCGCTAGCTAACATCATCACAACTCAATCTAGAACAAAACAAACCAACTGCAGCATTATTATGAATAGCATCTCAACATATATATATGTATATTTATCTATCAGGTGGTTTAATACTGCTATTCATTTCAAAGATTCAATCAGAATGTTGGTGTTTAATCTTAGAAGGCCTTCATACATCAGTGGAGAGCAGCAGGCTTTAAAAAAATGTTCAAATACACTAACCAGACAAAAAATAAAGCAATCATCACATCTATCAACGATATCACAGTAGGTTTTGTGCGTAAATCGCCTTTTATTCGATGTCTCTTTGATTCTATCGGACTTAGCTATAGTCTGTAAATACTGTTACATAGCGGAAAAGCTTAAATCTGACTGACTGCAGCGGTTTGATTTCACAATCTTCAAATATACTTACTTTCTGCTCCTCCACATTCGTTTCCTCAGGCTTTGTGTCCTCCATTTACTCTGATATGATAGGTCTGTGATGTTTAAAAATCACAATCTGAGCTCCTGATCTGCGGAGTACTCTAGCCCGCTCACGAATGTACCAATCCTACAAAATTGAAGGCGGGATCATGAATATTAACGACGCAACGTGACGTTCGCAAGTTGAAGGCTTATGAATAGTAATTACGTAACGTAGCAGTTTGCTGGACGAACACACGTGATGAAATTGCACCCGAAAGCTGACAATTTGGTGTTCTCTTACGAGAGGTTCTCTCGTATTGCGTAAGCTAGCTTACGCTGCGGGAAAGATTCATCTTTGCTGAGAATTTGAAGCCAAAAAATTATTTCATAATTTGTATCCATTGACAACGCAGTTCCTCTGCGGCAGACCTTGAGCAGGCTAGCTATAGCGGCTCATTGGTTCGCTCAGAGAGAACTGCTTAAGCCTATGGGAGAGTGGGGCTGAACCCGCTGCCAATGAGAAGCGCCCGCGCGCTCATTGCGTCATGGCCCGCCAGAATGGGCGTGGCTATGGTGTATATAACAGTCTCTCCCAGGCTTACAGTGGTGTGAATAAGTTATTACCCCCATGCTAAAGTTGCCTAAAAAGAGGAATAAAAAATCATCTTTTGGAAATTGATCTTAATGCCTTAATTAGAAAAATGAGGAAAAATCCAACCTTTAAGGACACCAATTTTCTTTGTGTATGAATAATGTATCATAAATAAATAAATGTTCTTCCTTAAAATACAGGGTGCATAAGTCAGGCCCCCCCTATGTTAAATTCCCATAGAGTCAGGCAGATTTTTATTTTTAAAGGCCAGTTATTTCATGGATCCAGGATAATATGCATCCTGATAAAGTTCCCTTGGCCTTTGGAATTAAAATAGACTCACATCATCACATTCCCTTCACCATACCTAGAGATTGGCATGGGGTACTTTCCATAAGATCATCTTTCAATGCAAATCAAACCAGCTATTAGGCTAACTGAAAGTACCCCATGCCAATCTCTAGGTATGGTGAAGGGAATGTGATGATGTGGGTCTATTTTAATTCCAAAGGCCAAGGGAACTTTATCAGGATGCATATTATCCTGGATCCATGAAATAACTGGCCTTTAAAAATAAAAATCTGCCTGACTCTATGGGAATTTAACATAGGGGGGGGCCTGACTTATGCACCCTGTATTTTAAGGAAGAACATTTATTTATTTATGATACATTATTCATACACAAAGAAAATTGGTTTCCTTAAAGGTTGGATTTTTCCTCATTTTTCTAATTAAGGCATTAAGATCAATTTCCAAAAGATGATTTTTTATTCCTCTTTTTAGGCAACTTTAGCATGGGGGTAATAACTTATTCACACCACTGTATATGTTGATTCATTTCATCTTCAGCGAGCTACACGCTTCTGCTGACTTGAGAAAAGCCGTCGCCGTCGAGAAGGCATCACTCTAGCGAGCTCCCGGACCCTGAAGAAGCCGGCCGTCTTCGCCACCTTCAGCCGCCCTGCAAGCTAGCGCCATCCGACGACTGTATCCTTCTCTCATTATCTAAAAGAGCGCGAGCGTCTTTTTAAAGATGCCTCGCTTCGCCTGCGGCTCTTGCCGCGCTCCTCTCGAGGACGGAGACCGCCATGTCATTTGCGCTCTCTGCCTGGGACTCGAGCACGCGGAACTCGCCCTCGCTGATGGAGGATGCGACTTCTGTGAGAGCCTGCCGTTGTCGTCCCTGCGGGCACGACTTCTGGCGGCTAAATCCGCTCCCGCGCCGCCTCTCTCTTCGCCGCGGAAGAAGAAACGCCGCGCCCAGAGGCCGCCGGAGCCCCCAGCGGAACCATGCGGGCCGCCGCCGCCGCCTCCCGCTTCCCGCTCTCCCTCCCCGCCCCAGCCGGACATACAGTTGCCGCCGAGTGGCCGCTCTGTCGCTTCCGATGACGCCGCGGAGGAGAAGGATTCCTGTTCACTGCTCGCGTCAGACAGTGAGGAATGGTCATCTCTCGGATCCACGAGAGAGTCGGCGGGGATCCGCGCCGGAATAGAGGAGGAACTAATGCGCCTCCTCTCACAGGCCGTCGAACGCCTCGGTCTCGAGTGGTCTCCTCCACCCGAGCAGGCCCCGAACCGGATGGACGGCAGCTTTTTTCATCGGCGCTCGACCCCCGCGTGCAACCGGGCCGCCCCATTCCTGCCTGAACTTCACACAGAGCTGACGAAGTCCTGGAATGCCCCACTCTCGGCCAGAAACCGCTCCGATATCTCCGCCTCGCTGCGCTCGGTGGACGGAGCCGCCGAAAAAGGTTATTCAGCCATGCCGCCCGTTGAGGACTTGGTCGCCGCCCACCTCTGCCCGCCCTCTGCTAGATGGCGCTCTTCCCCCACACTTCCTTCGAAAGCTTGCAGAGCGACCTCGAGCTTTCATGCTCGCGCCTATGCCGCCGCCGGTCAGGCCGCCGCGGCGCTGCATTCTATGTCTGTCCTCCAGGTGCTACAGAGCGATATTCTCCGTGAGTGGGCCGAGAGCGGTAGAACCCCCCCCTCCGCTGTCACGGATCTGAGAAGTGCTACGGACCTCGCCCTTCGCGCCACTGAAAGCCGCCGCACAAGCTCTGGGGAGATGCATGGCCAGCCTTTGAGTATCCGAGAGACACATATGGCTCACGCTCGCAGACATGGGAGATTCTGAGCGCGCCGCGTTTCTTAACGCGCCCCTCTCCCCGACGGGCCTTTTTGGATCTGCTGTCACGGGGATCGTCGATCGCTTTTCCGAGGTCCAGAAAGCCACTCAGGCCATGAATTTGTTTCTGCCCCGCCGCGCTAGCTCTTCCGCAGGCCGCTCTCGCGAGCCTCCTGCCAGAGCCCCACCACAGCGCCCTCCTCCGCAGACTCAAACAGCCCAGCGCAGACAGGGCGGCCGCCCTCGCTCTCGCTCTGACAGCCGCCGCAGACCGCCGCCCCCTCGGGGTCCGCGACCCAAGATCACGCTGAAGCCTGATCATCAGAAGTCTGCCTAGCACAGTTAAGAAAACGACGGCGCTCTCCCGCTGCGGCCGGACCGCCGTCAAAGCTTCACCCTCTGCCAGTCCCCGTTGTTTCGCCGACTGCTGTAGTGTTTACCGCCACAAGCAAGCCGGTGTCCCAGCCCGCTTGCGAGCGACAAAAAGCCGTTTTTACGGCTACCCAGAGAAATCTCAAAAAGAGAAAATATGCCAGTTGTGTAGAAAATGTGCCCACAATCATGTGTTCACCCATACACACAAGCATAACATATCCCGTGTCTCTCTCAGAGCCCCCCCACATGAAGCGGGCACAGCCCGCTCCAGTATCAGAGAACATAAACACGCCCACGAGCTCATGCGCGTGTCCCCTCTCTGCTCGCTCTGTTTCACGGCCCATAGACTCCTCTCTGAGTGTAAGTCCCGTTGCCACACACATTCAAAGCGCGCCCACACACTGTGTCCAGCCCGCTATGTGCAGCAATCAGGGCGATATAGCCATTCGGCCACTAGCCGCATGCTCCAAAGCGTGGGAAGCCATTCCAGGCATTTCCCTGTGGGTGCTAAGCATTATAAAGAACGGCTATCTGCTACAGTTTCGCCGCCGCCCGCCTCGTTCGCGCGCTCGGCTCGAATCTACTGTCAGCCCGCTGGCCGCCAACACGCTCCGCTCAGAAATTGCGACGCTGTTGCAAAAGGGCGCTATAGAGAGAGTCCCGCCATCTATGACTTCCCAAGAAAGACGGCGGCCTCAGACCGATTTTAGATCTCAGGTTTTTGAACAAAGTGCTCATGAAGAGACCGTTCAAGATGCTCACTATCAGGAAACTCCTCGCGCAGGTGCGCCAGGGGGACTGGTTCATCTCTCTAGACCTGAAAGACGCCTATTTTCAGATCCAGATAAATCCCCGTCACAGGCCATTCTTACGTTTCGCCTTCGAGGGTCATGTTTATCAATACGCCGTTCTCCCGTTCGGCTTATCCCTGGCGCCCCGTACCTTCACGAAGTGTATGGATACGGCGCTCGCCCCCCTGCGGAGCCAGGGGCTGCGCATATTGAATTATCTGGACGACTGGCTGATTTTGGCTCAATCACGGACGGAGCTTCTGTCGCACCGCGCAGTTCTCCTCGACCATCTGAAAACGCTGGGCCTCTCTGTCAACTGGACAAAGAGCTCCCTTCAACCCAGTCAATCGATTTCCTTCCTAGGAATAGATTTGAACTCGGTCACAATGACGGCTCGCCTGTCTACACAGCGCGCGCGCAGTGTTCAGCGACTAGCCGCCTCTTTTCAGATGGGCACCCGCACACCTCTGAAAACTTTTCAGAGGATGCTGGGTTACATGGCCTCAGCCTCCGCTGTGCTTCAGCTGGGCCTTCTGCACATGCGCCCGCTTCAGCTCTGGTTAAAAAGCCGTGTACCCCACCGCGCGTGGAACACGGGCCGCCAGCTGATCAGGGTTACGCAGACATGTCTCACGGCACTGCAGCCATGGACAGTAGCAGAATGGTTTCGGCGAGGCGTCACGATGGGGACCTTTTCCCGCCGAAAGGTCATCTCGACAGACGCATCCAACACGGGTTGGGGGGCGGTCTGCGAGGGCTCACCGGCCTTCGGCCATTGGTCGACTCAGGAAAGCCCCTTGCACATAAACTGTCTGGAAATGCTTGCGGTCGAGAACGCGCTCTCGCGCTTCCTCCCGCTCATTCGGGGACACCACGTCCTGATCCGTTCAGACAACATGGCTGTGGTCTCCTATCTCAACCGTCAGGGCGGTGTCAGATCCAGGAATCTCTTCCTGCTGACACACCGCATTCTAGTTTGGTCTCAGAGCCGCCTGCTCTCGCTCAGAGCGACGCATGTGCCGGGCCATCTGAACGACGGTCCAGACATACTGTCCAGGAACCTCATCTCCACAGGAGAATGGTCCCTGAACACACAAACGGTCCAAATACTGTGGCGGCTATTCGGCAGAGCAGAAGTGGACCTCTTCGCGTCAGAGGAGAACGCTCACTGCCCAATATTTTTTTCAAGGAGCGAGGACGCGCTAGCCCAGGAATGGCCTCGCCGCCCACTCTATGCATTCCCTCCGATCGCTCTGCTACCGCAGGTAA